CGTCTTTTGTAAAGAATGAAGAAGGACTACTCTCGTTCTTTCTTTTCAACTTTACTTTGAAAGCTATGTCAAAGTGGGGGTAGGAGTCACGGAGTGAATAGTGAAATGCAACTTAAAACCAATTATTGGAGTGGATAAAGTCCCATGGCTCAAAGAAACGTGATTTCCCATGCAAATCAATTGAAAATCATGACAGCTATGGATGTATGATACAGTGTCTAGAATAAAGATCAATTTGCATAATTCATAGTTTCAGAAATATGAGTATCCAATAGGCAATTAAATGGAAAAATATTCACAACAACAATAAATTCAACAAAATGAGTAGTAATTGCATATAATAATTCCATTGTGGTGCTGAAGCATAAACATGAGCTAGAATAATGTGTGAGACTATGTGTATTGCTAGGTGGTTAGATGCACAGATGTTATCTATGTCCTTAATATATCTGAGTAAGTGCACTTTCAATTAAACTCCCAGCAGGTGTTCATACAAAACTAACATTATAATTCTAAAATTCATTGAGAAGAAGCAAAAGCAAAAAAATGTTAATAAGACAAGCACAAGAACAGTTGGAGGGAACAAATTTAGGAAGAATGAGGATAAAACACAGATTTTTTTTTAATGATTAAATTGTGATTTTTCTTTGAAATAGACCTTTTTATAAATGAATCAGGATATGGCACAAAAATATATCTGTCTCTTTTTCTTTAGCTTTTGACATATTGATAATTGGTTGATAGGTGATGGTTGATGATATTGGTAGATAAATAGTAGATTCATAAATAGATAGTTGGTAGATAAAAAAATCAATTGATAAATAATAAAGAGATTATAGATGTTTGGTTCTTTGATGATACATAAGAAATAGTGATAGATAGATAGATAGATAGATAGATAGATAGATAGATATTTTCTACATAGAACAATTATCAGAAAACTATATTGAATAATGAGTTCAGAAATAGATTAGAAAACTGTAATGATTGGATTCTCTCTGTATATTTATACATTGATATTGTTCCTTTGATATATTAGAAGTAAATTCATTTGCAGACAGAATACTTATAAAACAATCAAGTTAAAATATGTTTGTTATGGTGGGATTTAAATAGGACTAGATTCTTATAAGAAGAAAAAATTGAACACAGAATCACAGAAAAAAGATGTGCAAGAAATTGGGAGGAGAGAGCCCTTTGCATTGAGAGAGATCCAATACAGAGAATATTCCCTCACAGTCTCCGAAGAAGCCAACCCTGTACCAGCTTGAATTTTTATTTTGAGACTCCGGAATTGTGAGACAAAATACATTATTTTTATCATCACTGTAGTGCTTTGTTGTGACAGTCGTAACAAATGCGAGACCTAACCCTACTTAAAAGTCAGTAGAACTGATACGGGGAAATGGAAGGAAAAATTTATGAAAACGGAGCCATTATCTCACAAAACAGCTGAAAAGTGTCTTCGAAAGTAGCTGTAAATCTATGCTGAGTAGTTTTCGTCAACTTGACACAAGCTGGAGTTACAGAGAAGAGAGAACAAGGACTGAGGAAATGCCTCTACAAGACTGGCCTGCAGGCAAGCCTTTGGGGGCCTTTTCTCTACTAGTGATTGACATGGGAGGGCCCAGTTCACAGTAGGCCCTGCTACCCCTGGAGCTGCAGTCCAGGTGTCATAGGGAAGCAGGCTGAGCAAGCCATGGAGGAAAGGCAGTCATCAGCATTCTTCCATGGCTTCTGTATCAGTTCTTGCCGCCAGGTTTCTGCCTTGAGTTCCTGCACTGACTTACTTCCCTGGATGATGAACTACAAACTGTAAGAAGAAAGAAACTCTTTACTCCCCAGATTGCTTCTGGTCAAGGTCACTGTCACAGCAACAGTAAAGTAACTAGCAGATTCCATTCCTGTGCCATTCGAACATATTTTTTCCAATGGGTAAGACAGTACCCTCCCTATCCCGAAGTGTAGAAAATATCAAGTGTTTGGATAAACTAATATATTTTAGAGAATCCAAGCTCACTAGCACATATTAAAATTAACTTAATAATTCTACTGCAGTGTCTTCACCAATGAGAATATCATATGCCACAGAAATATTCGAGGACATATGTATATGGCCACATACCTGCATTTCATTACTCTGTAAGAGAAAAAGTGGGAGCATGCTAAACATGCAGTGGTCAGAATGAAGTGCACACAGAACAGAATGCGTACTAGCACCTGTCAGCAGGTAGGACCTCCAAGAGACACGCAGCCGTAGACTGCGTAGACTATGGGTGAAGGGTGAGCCTTGGTGTTTTATTGTGTTTTTAAAGAAAACTTTATTAGAAGATAAATAAGCACTTACTGCAAATGGAGAAAAATACTGTGATCACTTCTGCCCATTTCTACTCTGTAGAGTTACAATGTTTGAAACTTGAAGGTGGTGATTAATTGATTAAGTTTCCTGGGTATAATTCTCTAATTAATTGTACCCTGTTCATGATTATTGTTGTGTTTACTAAACAATAGATTGTTTAAAGTTCTACGGTGTGTTTTATGATAAAGGTTGGGAACACTAAATATGATAAATAATGAAATTAAAAATGATTGCAAATTATATTAAAATAGCAAAAAGAAATAATACTTATAATTTAATTTAATGAATAATTTTAAATGACAAGCAAAACCAATATTGTATATTGATACATATAATACAGACGAAAGAAGAAATAGACTATAAATTTTATGAAATGCACAATGAACGTTTAGCTCTAAAGCCATAGCCAGGTCAGCATTCTTGTTCTGATATCAAGAGTATTTTTAGAGTAGTGACTGAGACAGGCAGCATGGAGCTGACTAATAGACCACTTCCATAACAGCATCTTGCCCTTGGAAGTGATTTATTATCTTATTGACTCAGTTATTTCTACTGGAAAATAGGGTTACCCGAAGCAATTACCTCCTGGAGTTCTTGTGAGTACAAAATGAGTTTTTGTGAGTAGAAAATGAGTTATAGAATCACTCAAGCAAAACATTGTCAATGTGTTTTATCAATCCATTTGATTTATAATGTATATGATAATCTGGGAACATGTTTATTGTACAAGAGAAACCAAAGACATGAAATGACACTGTATTTTTGGGTGAGACAGAGATGAACCCTTATTATTATTTGTTAATTGATTTTGTCAGTGTGAGTTATGAATTCCTGAGATAATCTATAACTGTATGATGACTGATTAATTATTGTTGGACTGTGTCAGGGCCACTGTGGGATAGTGTGCTTCTTAGCCATTCCAACTTCCTTTATGCAAGAAGAAGCTGAAGGCTGGCAAACACCTACACTTAGTCAAAAAAAAAAAAAAACAACAAAAAAACAAAAGTTGTCACTAAAATCTGCTCTAGATGAAATAAATTTATTAACCACTGATAAACTCCACAGTGCAAATTATTCTTCCAGAGTTCTACAGAACACCCATGAAAATCATGAAGTTTCTCAGGAATAAAGATATTTTTCATTTTGAAAACCTCATTATTTACATTGGGGTCAAAGCTTTATATAAACTCCACAATTTAACACAAACATGTGGGTGAAGCCAGTATCTCACATTTTACAAGCAAAGTAACATTTAGAAAGTTTGGTGCCCTTTTCTACAAGTTTACAATCAAATGCATCACCTTTCTCTGCACACTGCTCTCTGACTTCTTTCTTGGTGAAGAGCTAATTACAAAAGTTGCTGAAATCTCAAACATGGCAACATCACTAATTGCCGTCTCTACCTGAGGAGCACACAAAAGCAAAATAATTTACAAGAGCAGGTTTCGTATTGATTTCATTTCCTGTGATGTATGAAAATCAGCCAGTGTTTTTCTTTATTTACTTCTAATGTAATCAGGCACTCTAGCCTGGACCACTACATGTTGGCTTCTTTGCCCACATCCCGTTCTCCACAACTTCACTCTCAATCTTTAGAAAGGGAAAAACATTCCAAACTCCCTATCTAGCCTTGTCTCTACCTGCCTACAACATCTTCAGTTAACTATTATTCTCCAAACAGGGCCCCAAGTCCTAAACATCACTCAGAAGCCTGGCATGTCTCTTCTCCTAGTCCTGCATTTTCTTACCAGCAACGAGATCTCCCTCTCCTAAACAAGGGCTTCACACATTTATTCATTTAAAATAACTTTATTGCGATTGGCAATTTACAAGTGCTTTCTCTCTTTGTCTAGCTGATTCATATTTACCTTTATAATAATCTTTTATATTCTAAGGCATTTTTCGTAGGAAGACCTCTTTGGAGTTTTTTGCTTCCTTATGTGTTCTGATTAGTCACTGCCTACTTCCCCTACTATATATAGGTTTGTTTTCTTTTTTTTAAACCAGAAAATATTTTTTTTTCTTGCCCCAGTCTCACCCCCTCAAGCTCACAGATACACACAGGCAAACCCATATTTACTGAATACTGAGCTTTTCCTTGAATGTAAATTTCATTTCTGTCCAAAGTTCACTTGAATTGCCGAATGCATTGATTGCCTTTCATAACGGTTGTCCTTTCTCTGGTCTGCCTTTAAAACTAATAGTGGTTCTTGGACATATTTGAAAGGGCATTCATTTCCCCTTGGGTTTTATTCTTTGTGAACTAAGCATGAAATCAAGGCCCCTGCTTTCTATCTGGCTCTACCCTCAAGTGTGTTCCCCAGTATGAAAACCTACCTAAGCCTCTGGGATATTTCTCCAAACCCCCTCTCTTGCAACAGATATTGAAATGCCTAGAAAAATAGAGTGCTATTATAGAAATAATCTACTTTCTAAACTATACTGGGTAGACTACATTGCCTGCATAGAAATTATTCTGTCTTGGGGACCATCAGTCTGGATAGTTCTCTCTGTAAGTGAAGTCTTTGATGTAGAATTGCTTGTTAGAGTTTCAGTCTAGAGTTTGCTGAAACTCTGAGGTTTACTGATTAGGCCTATGGCCAAGTGTGTGGAGGGCTCTCATGCCTTTTTTCTGTGTTAGACAGGACTATGAAGAGCTAGAGAAGCAGCTGAAGGAAGTCTTTAAGGAACGAAGCACAGTCCTGCGGCAGCTGACAAAGACATCCAGAGAACTGGATGGGATCAAAGTCAACCTTCAGGTGAGCTGGAAACTAATTCTGTCAGCAGCAAAGGAGTCTAGTCACCCACTGGATGGATATGCATTTTTAAACAGCATCTCTGGGCTTTACCACTCCAGTTAATATTTATTATTATTTGAGCTTCGAAAGGAAATGTCTTTTGAAATGGTCTAGAGAACTGCAGGTTCCAAACATCAAAAGGAGAAAACTGTGGACTTGGCAAAGCCATCAGTTTCTCCCAGCTTCCAAGATCAATTTGACCTCTGTGTTCTTGATATTACAAAATGATGGAAAGGAATTAAACGGAGAGTTGAAGAATATAGGAATGATATTTGTTCCATTGGAAGCACTGCCCCAGCCTCACTTTCCCCCATCCCAAACCCCGCCCCCTCTCAAAAAGCCTACCAAGCAGTGGCTCCTCCCCTGGAGCCACTCAAAGACCACGCCTACAGGGTATTTAAGGCCCCCTCCTTGGAAGCAGCAGCGTGGTTTCTTCTTCCCCGAGATTACCAGGGAATGCTTTGCTCATTAAACCTCGACTTTTAAATTTGGCTTGATTTGGTTTACTGCATCAGCAGAGAAACCTAACAGAGGGGATCCAAAAATACTTACCAATATTTAGAAGAGAAATTTAAATTTTTCCCTAGGATAGCTCTAAAGATCCTTTGAGCAACTTCTTTATAGAAATGGATAAATGTCTTACAAAGGAGACTATCATGTTTAAAACAAAAGCAAGGTCTATTTTAGATAAAAATCCTTCTAGAACATCTGAGAGTACTTTTTTTTCCTGTGGAAGTACAAACCCGTTGGAATAAGATCAAAAGAAACCAACAGAAGGGAAAGAGCCCAAGAAAAAGCACAACAAACACGTATAGACAGGGGCATACACATGGCCTCACCCACAGGAATCCCATAAAAACACAAAAAAGAAGCCACAATACATACACAAAGGACCTGTAAGGTAAAGTACTTTATGAGACACAACAGTATGAGACAAAGGATGGTACTTTTACATCTGACTTTGCATGCTATATTCACTGAGTGCTTACCGCATACAAAATTCTTGGACGGCATTGCATGTTTTAATTATTTTAAATAAATAAAGAAAATGGTACTTGCATTTTGACTTTTCTTATTATGCTCAAGCAATATTGGCTGAAGAAAGTAGTTTTGAAAGTCAGTAAAGACCCTAGAGTTTAAACATAATCTGTTTTGCTCCAGAGCCTTGCCACACACCACAGAACTGAGGCTGTGTTATCTTGGTGCTCAAGGTCTACATGCTACACTGATACCATGGTGGCACTACAGGGAGATGATGGTGGTGGTGCGGGCAACCACTAGAGCATGGACTTTGGTCCAACTCAAATGTTGGGTTGTCTTTCCATAGCTCTTATTTAATTTTCACAGGAAAACTTTGTTGTAGTTACTAATCTTCTTTGATAGCTGCAAACACAAAGTTTAGAAAGAGCACACGGTAAGTAATGAGTGGCATCAGCATTTGAATTGACTGTTTAAGCTCTTGCTACAGAAGTTGTGCTACTCATTGAAAGAGTTAACCTAGCCACCACCCTGCAGGACCTGGTGGCAGGTTAGAAGGATTAGGAAGTGGATGGGGAATACTGCTGTGCACGCAGGCATCAAATTCTGAAAAGCAAGGTGGGGGATTCCCAGAGCTACAAATTGATCTTGTTTTATTTGGAAAAACCAAGGCAGAGATTACTGGGAAGAAAATTAACAGGTAAACAGGCCTGGGAGGAATATTCAAGACATCTGCCTGTCCTCAGGGGGATGGGACACCTGGCTCAGGAGCATATCATCCGCATATGGTGAAATGCCCTAGAGAGATAGTGATTACTGTGTTCCCGGGATTCTGTTTCCTTAGTCAAGGTGTCTCTTTATACACTGGAATGTTGTTTAAGAAAAATTTTCATGGAGCTTTATTTTTCAAAGGGGAAAAAAGTCTTCCCTGAAATGTTGTTACAACTTTGAAAATGACTTTTTGTTTTGTGGTACATACAACACAAAATGTTTTTTCATGGTTTAATCTTAATAAATCCTGTTAGCAAACCGTCCACAAAATTAGCATGGTATTCTGTTCATTATAAAATGACGAGTGAAGATGTAAGGAGCTCACAGGATGTGGGTAGGTGAGATTCGATTTCAAACTTCAAGTGAATACATGTATAACTATGTGTTATGTGACTTTCCTGACAAAACATGAACAAAACGACTGTTCACCCCAGACAGGGAACTAGCAACATCCCACAAAACCTATCCTACCTAAGTTTAGTTTGATGACTGAAGAGTTTACTTGGAGTTAGTTAGGGGAGTATGGGTGAGTGGAAGCATGGGCCACAGCAGCTATCCCATCTCACCCACCTCAGGCAACTTCTGCTGGGCTGCCATGTTTTCTTTGCCTGCTACAAGACAGGTTCTAGTCTTTAAGCTGACCTTGAGTTTGCTATGTAGTCGATTATGAACATGCACATCTGGTCTTCATGTCTCCTCAGCGTTGGAATTACACATGCCTCCTACTATGCCCATTTCTTTATATAGTACCAGAGTCCTGAACCTGGAGATTTCCACCTGCCAGACAAGCACTCTTCCAGCTACTGAGCTGCATAAAAAACCTGTCCTGCCTTTAATAAGGTGGTGTAATTAGGCCCAATTTTGGGTAAATAGGTTGGAAGTAATCACAGTCACTCTGATTTCAGGATAACTGGCATGTCCTGTCCAGAGGACAGAATTCCTCAATACATCAAACATGTCTTTCTTATCTATTTATTTTACTATTTTATTTTTAAAAAATTCTCTTTTTGATTTTTTAGTGTCTTCCTTATTTCTTAAAAGAATTTATTCATTCATCTGTTTTAATTTCATGTGAATGAATGTTTTGCCTGCAAGTATGTCTGTGCACTATGTGCATGCAGTACCTGTAGATGCCAGGAGAGGGTGTTAGATTCCTTGAAGCTGGAGTTACAGATAGCTGTTAGCTTCCATGTGGATGTTTGAAACCAAACCCATTTTAATTCCTCAAACTGCCCTCTTAGTCTGTTAGGAGAAGCTCTCTTTCCTAAACACATAGAGCACTGCTTACTGGATACTTCCCAAAGGGACTCTCAGTTATCCCTGTCAGCCCCTAGGTATCTCTGGTAAAGCTAACACTGTGTTAAAGTTCTCTGTTGAACACCAGGCTGAAACCATTCAGGCAGCCCTGTGCTTTACAAGTCTTTGCATAATTCAGGATCGGTGTCTGTTAAATAAACATTAAGGAACAATACACTCACTGATAGAATGCTGTCCTTTCCCTGCACTCACAGCTACTCTGTAACAACTGTTACTGCTATTTAAACTTTTAATACCGACTATGACAGGTTACTCCATTAAACAGTTTACTGAGTATAAATAAAGAAGTAATTAGGAAAGGTTTTATATGACAGATCCTTGTATAAGAAGAGCTCGGAGGGCTTTTCTGTTCTAATTGATGGCCTCTGAATCCTGAATTTGCAAGTGTATAAGTAATAATGACTGGAGTGGCATATATTATTTTCTTAATACCTATGTATAGTGACAAGGCATAAAATTACCTGGTCCTCTGTCTTTTTGTATCCTAACAGGTTACTTAGAAATAAGACACAGACACGAATGAACAAGCATGTGCCTTTGACTGCTTTCAACTTCAATCAGGTCATTCCCTGACCTGTGCAGGCAAACTTTCTCTGACCCCTTCCATTTGCTGGAACTACACAAGAGCTAATTCAAAATACCTGCTGAGGATAAACTTTAAAGGAACTAGAGAAGCACATGATATGGCTCAGTGGGTGAAGGTGCTTGCCGGCCAAGGCCAGTGGCTAGATTTTCATGTTTGGAACACATGTAAACCTGAAATAGGACTAACTCCACAAAGCTAACCTCAGACCTGCATACCTGCACAATGACATGTTTGACAACACATATGCCTGAAACACACACACACACACACACACACACACACACACACACACACACACACAAAATAAAAATTCTTAAGAATTTTAAAAAGAAAATGAGTTGTTTGCAGGGTATTTCTCTTTTCTCCAACATCTGAATGGTGAGCCTGTGGCAGTCCAGCTCTAACCTGTCAAGGGGTTCTTGTGGAGAGGAAAGAGGAATGAGGAGTATTAGACAGAAATATAGGTGGAGATGACAAGGAAGACAGAGAGAGACACAGGATAGTTTAGGGAAGGCCCTGGGTCAATACCCAGCTACCTCGAGATTTATTCTAATGGGCTTTTTATACACTACCAAGGAGAAAGGCAAAAGGCCTTCCCCTTTCAAGATCAAAGCACAACATACAGCCAAGTGTAGACCCTTCAAAACACCTGGTAACCATGCCCCTGGCCAAATCATCCTATTATGCAGCCCTGCTGGGTAAAGCAAGTTCAGATTCTCTGAATTTGAGTAAGGCCTTACTAGGAGCCTCTGTGGGCCCCCACATGAGCCTCAGTTCGAAGCCATTTGTGTAGTAACAGTTGAACATGTTCTGCTTGGTGAACCTCTGTTTGTGTCCTTGGCACCATCAATAAATCAAGTGCCTTAAAACCTGGTACTAAATATAGACAATAAAGTGAATGACAGTGTTTTATCTAAACAAGACTCCTTTCCCTCATTCTTCTTTCAGTCTTTGAAAAATGATGAGCAATCTTCCAAAATGGATGTTCAGAAGCTTCTGGAGTTAGGCCAGAAACAAAGGTAAGACTGGAGTTCTATAGTCCTTTCTACTCTTTCTTTTTCCTTTTAGTTTAAGACTTCCTCCCCACTACCTTTTTTTCAATGCTATTAAAATACAGCCAGGGAGTTTATCAAAATCCATCTACTATAATGTGTGAACCTATCTTCTTGTGTACACTTGGGTGCCTATGAGACTTACCCAGTACTTTGTGTAAATGGGTCTCTCATAGAGGAGCTCTGGATGAGATGTGAGAGTCTGCATTTCTGGCCATGACTTGGTATAAAGCTGCTATGCTCAAAGCAGTTAAGTGAATTGCTGAGACCAATATTCTTGGGATTTGAATTTTTTTTTATGGTCATATTCAATGCTCACATCATTCCATGCTGGCTCTTTGATCAACAAGCAAAATGCTGTGAAAAAAATATTACACATATCAAGTAACAGAATGAGGAGTTGATTATCAGGCCTGTCACTGGCCTGTGTCTCCTCTGCTGATCTTACATATTGACTCTGAAATCTGTCATTGACACTGACATGCTTTCGGGTTAGGTCACTAATGTGGTTCAAATATCAGTGTCATGCATTACTTTTCATTGGTTACAGTGATTAAGTCTTTATTTTTAGCTATTAGATACTAGTGTTAAAATAATTTGATATCTCTCTGTCTATTGTCTTTTTTCATGATCTATTTTAGCAACATCAGTGGGCTCCAGGCATGGCAGCCCCTTAGTCACCTGCTGTCTGGTTTATGTTTAAGCCAGGTTTTTTTTCTCACTTCTGTGTATTTTGGGTTTCTCATCTGCAAAACAAAGCTAATATCTTAATGATAGTAGAAAGGGTATTTGAAGGAATCTACAAACATTGACTGTAGCTAGAGTTTTCCTGCCTGGCCCACAGTCAGGACAAATCTCTCTCACCTGCCAGTCCCACAGCCACTCAGACCCGACCAAATAAACACAGAAACTTATATTGGTTACAAACTGTATGGCCATGGCAGGCTTCTTGCTAACTGTTCTTACAGCTTAAATTAATCCATTTCTATAAATCTATACCTTGCCATGTGGCTCATGGCTTACCGGCATCTTTACATGCTATTTCTCATCGTCACGGCTGTCAGTGTCTCTCTGACTCAGCCTTCCACTTCCCAGCTTTATTCTCCTCCTTGTCCCGCCTATACTTCCTGCCTGGCCACTGACCAATCAGTGATTTATTTATTGACCAATCAACAACACATTTGACATACAGACCATCCCACAGCACTTCCCCTTTTCTTTTCTTTTTTTTCTTTCAAAAAGGAAGGTTTTAACCTTAAAGTAAAATTACATATAATTTGGGAATTTGGGCGTAGCTTCTCTTACTACTTCCTGCTGGAGGGGGGCGCTGTATCTTATGGTGACACAAAGAAAATTTTAGGATCATGGAGTAGTCCGTGAAGCTGTATCGTCTGAGCCAGTTGCCTTGAAACAATTCTGGATGTTGGATCATCTGGGCCATGGTGTCATCGGAGACTTTTCAGGGGGTCTTGGCTGGTCAAACCTGATGTATCTTAATCTGGAACAAATCCATAGCCTTTGGCTTTCTGTGGGAACAAAAGCAGAGTCTCCTTTCCAAAGCAACATATCCTTATATCCAAATTTTGAAGTCAAGGTACCTTTAAAATATGCATATTGGTTTAACTCAGCTTCCTTTACAATCAAATATCTCTCTGCAGTTAAGAATCCCAAAAACAACACAATCCAGATTCTCTGTGTAATATTCGTCTTCACGTGGCTTAGTTTTTATATTAATTTTACTGTCTCTTTAAAGACTTTATTTTTTAAAACTATGTATTTGTTTATATAACTGTATATATCACCTTTTTTGTCTCTTTCAAGCCTACGTATCTTTTACACACATTGTAAACTCTTACATCTGAATCTGTCTTATTGTGAATCTATTGCTTTAAACTGCAGCAGCTGTGGCTGCTGGCTCCGCCCACCTCAGCTTCCCAACATGGCGGTGGTACGCTTACCGCCAGCTCTGGGAGCTATCGTGGGTCTATGCTTCTATCCAAGCAGCGTGTAGCCCAGAAACCTCTTTTTTTGTTTTGTACTAGCAAAGGCTAAATCCACCATGCAGCTTAATGTGCCACTTGCATAGGCCTTGTTCCTGCCATACGGCAGGTCGAGCGCGCACACCAGGAACCCACCAGTAGCTCAAACCGGCAGCTGCCGCTCATTTGAGAGAGACAATTAGGAAGCTGTTTTTAGCTCCGTTTTAGAATCTTTTCTCCCAGTTTTTAGGTGGAAACTCTTGCCACCACGTTGGACGCCATTTGTAGCTAGAGTTTTCCTGCCTGGTCCACAGTCAGGACAAATCTCTCTCACCTGCCAGTCCCACAGCCACTCAGACCCGACCAAATAAACACAGAAACTTATATTGGTTACAAACTGTAAGGCCGTGGCAGGCTTATTGCTAACTGTTCTTACAGCTTAAATTAATCCATTTCTATAAATCTATACCTTGCCATGTGGCTCATGGCTTACCAGCATCTTCACATGCTGTTTCTCATCGTCACGGCTGGCAGTGTCTCTCTGACTCAGCCTTCCACTTCCCAGCTTTATTCTCCTCCTTGTCCCACCTATACTTCCTGCCTGACCACTGGCCAATCAGTGATTTATTTATTGACCAATCAGCAACACACTTGACATACAGACCATCCCACAGCAATTGACCCCTTAGAAGTGGAGAGTTTAATAGTCTTCCCATTCTCCTGGGATGTTTGAAGGGTTGGGGTTGGTAGAAATTGGTCAAAAAATATGACTTCAGTTAAAACGGAAAAGTTTGGAATATCCATTAAGCAACACAGTAACAATTTAACAATGTAATTTTTTCTAGAAAAGTACATGAACAAAAGGCGTAATTATCAGCTAAAATAAGCTAAGATTTGTAGAAATTATTTCTTAAATGATTTCATCTTAATCAAAGCAAATGAATAAAAAACACAAAATAGGGGGAAAAAGCACAAAATAATATCTACGTAAGTCAAGTCAGTTGTCAGTGATTAAAGAAGCTGGGAGAACTGGGTCTGAGGTAAAATCTTTTACGGGGTTTCCCAGAGTGGATGGGGCTTCAGTGTCAAGCATTGTGATCTCATAGCGAGTAGCTCTGCAGGGAGTGGAGTAGTTAATTCCAGGAGGATCGTTGTGTCAATTCTGTTTAGGATGAAAAGGAGATGTAGACAGTTGGGAACCCATGGTCTCAAGAGGACAGGGAAGACTATGGAATGAAGACATATTTTTGTTAGAGATACAGGTGTGGTGCCTGAGGTGTGACAGAGATGAAGTAAAGCCCATGCCTTTGCTTTCACTCTGTTCTCAGGTATCTGTATCTGTTTATAATTACAGGAAAAGCCCTTAGGCCAATCAGAAGAATGGCATTAAGTCTGTACACACATTTAAGCAATCATCTACACCTCAGCTTCACACACAAGTTCTCAGGGTACTGAACATGTGTTCCAACAAAAAGATGAAAGAAAACAGTGTCGGCACTGGAATTTCAGAGTTTTATACAAAATTAGAAAACTTGTTGAAAATAAGTAACTCATTTTTTGTGTATCATTAAAATCAGCATAAAATCTCACTAAATTTTAGTCATGGCTATAGGTAACTTTTTCAAAACAAAATTGAGTGAACCAGGATTCCCCTCTTTAACAAATAACAAATTTATAGAGTAATCCTGTTTATCTCGGGACAGATTTTTAAGTAAATCTAGAGGATATGAGGGATCTATACACAGCTATGTGGAGAGATAAGTGGGCAGTTTCACTTCTAATGAGAGAAATATGTGTGTATATGTGTGTGTGAAAGAGATGGAGAAATAATAGATTATAAATAGCTGATAAGTATCTGATAACCACATTAGTAGATTGATGATAAGTATGTGAAAGAGACAGAGAATGATAGATTATAAATAGCTGATAAGTACCTAATAATCACCTTAATAGATAGATGATAGATGACTCATAGTGCCTTATTTTGACTATTGAATGGAACATGTTCATAATATATAGAAAACTTGGATAACATACACACAGAAGACCCTTGGGTTAATAGAAAGACCTTAAACAACACGATGTCATGATTAAGGAACTGTAATCAGAGAAATGATCCTGGGAGTGTCCTGAAGTGTCTTAAGAGTACATGGGAAAGTATAATTTGTTCTCTCTGGGGGGGAGGGGGTGGAGTTACTAAAGGCAACATGGACTCGGAGCACTAGCTCTCTGGGAACCGGAAGGAAGCTTGGGAGAGTGGTAAGCTTTTACTCTCTAAGTTACTGGCTGATATACCAGCTCATCGCTCTCTGAAATTCAGGCCTTCCTGAGAGAAAAATAGAGATGAAAAACACACAAAGTAGCTGCCCAATGCTTGCACAGTATGAAAACCTTTACTGAGATAGGCAAGTACGTGAGCAATCTCACCCAGTCACTGGAGCTAAACACTGTTAGAACTAGAGATTCACTTGAGCACCAAAGAGGCTCTAAAGCAGTCAAGCCTAATTGTCTAGTCAAACCTTCCTGAAGTGGGGAGTGGTGTTGAAGCAAGTAAGCCTGGAATCATCTCCCATAGCATAGAAACTGTGAGTCTGGGAGGCAGGCTCCAAAAGCTGAAGAACAGTGGGCTGTTAAAAATATATGTGTATTATAGCCGGGCGGTGGTGGCGCACGCCTTTAATCCCAGCACTCGGGAGGCAGAGCCAGGCGGATCTCTGTGAGTTCGAGGCCAGCCTGGGCTACCAAGTGAGTTCCAGGAGAGGCGCAAAGCTACACAGAGAAACCCTGTCTCGAGAAACCAAAAATATATATACATACATATATATATATATATATATATATATATATATATTAGAAAGGAAGCCAGAAGAAAATGTGCTGGGAGGTGGTTAGTAGATGTAAGGCCAAGCTGATCATCACACTTAGATGTGTGCTGCTCGACATAGATATGTACAAAATTCTCTGCTTCCACCATCTAAAAATGTTGGATTTGTATTTATATTCACATTCATGTATCTTACTTTATTGCAAAGTGTTTTGCTGAGTGTATGTATGTGTACCACATGCATGCCTAGTTCTCATAGAAGTCAGGAAAGGGCAACTGGTCCCCTGGAACTTGAGTTATGGTGCTGGGAACTGAACCTGGGTCCTTCTGCACAAAGACAAATGCTTTTAATCACTGAGCCTTCCCTCCAGGCCCTTCCTCCAATTTTCACTAACATGTCACTGCTTGTTTTGTCTTGTTCCATGTTTGCCTTCAGATATCAGAATGTGTTTTTTTTTTAATTCCTTCATTTTTTATAATATAATTTTATTAGATATATGATTAACTGTTTAAAGCTAGCAATAGGTAGTCTAAAAATAAAATCTACAATGAAAAGTAGTAGCTACTCTAAAATTGTCTTAACTATTTTGTTGAATGTATAATTCATATTTCAACCTGTACTTGCTGTTTCCTTCCTCCCCCCAGCACCTTTCCTTCCTTCTTTTCTCCCTCTCCATAGAAGTAGTATAACGCCTTTCTACAGGTGTGAGCACATATGCTGTGGGCACCTGCTGCTGCCCCTGTGTGCATCAGTTTTCTATCAGACACAGATAGCAGATTTTATTTGATAGATAACATATGTGTGCCCATTGCATATGATCATATTTTATTTTATAATATATTGCATTTAGTATTTATATATGATACCAATATTTAATTATTATGTCACAAAAGCCCTTTGTAAAAAAAAAAATCTGGTATTCCTGATTTAAGTGCCCATATAAGAAAATCCTGCATGAAAGCCGATATTTAGCTTTAGACCATGGATTATGAATTTGCCCAGGACCACAATGATTCCAAATTTATCCTCTCTCTCTCTCTCTCTCTCTCTCTCTCTCTCTCTCTCTCTCTCTCTCTCTCTCTCTGCGTGTGCATGTGCGTGTGTGTGTGTGTGTGTGTGTGTGTGTGTGTGTGTGTGTGTGTGTGTGTCTCCCCTGAGAATTAAATTTGGGTAATCACAGTACTCAGAGTAGAAATCTAGAAGACACAGTGTTCCTGCTAGAGGAAAGAGCAGCAACACTCTGTCTTGTGGGGCATCTTGTTCAAAGAGTGTACTTGGGGCCTCTATGGGATTATTTTTTTTAATGATTATAGAATAAGTAATTTCCATTTCTAGGTTTTGTGTTAAACATGAAGAAATTGACAAGAAGGGAATTTTATCACTTTCCCAAATTACCAGAGTTGGATTTTCAGCAATTGATTGCTGAATTTAAACTAGTTTTGATTCTCATGGAACAGTACAGCACTCTGCTTTGTTGCTAATGCTTTTAGGCAACTTCTCTAGGCATAGTCATGTCTCATAGATGTGTACTCTGTTACACACACGTGTTCATACACACACACACTCACACTAACTTTTATAATCTAATATTTTTGAGGTAATTGTTTGGGTGACAAAATCAAGCCAAAGCAAGTAAATATCATTAACCCTACATGCACAAATTCTAAATCCTTAAGAGGAATAATTTAACACACAAATTAATGGCTTTCATCATGACATTCACACAAACAGGCACACACACATGCAAACACACACACACACCATATTTCACACATATTCACTGCATTACTGTCATGTGTTCACTCCCCTAACCTTTACACTGAGACCTTTCTTGACTTACATTGTGCATACAAGAGACAATGTGATATTTGTCTTTCTCCACTTTTCCTGTCAAAACAAGACATAGTCCATGCATATTAATGATATTGGGGCACAATGTCCATGCCTTTATAGTCATATATTTTCTTTCCTGTGTCCATTAAGTTATAGTTAAAACTAAATCTCTTTTCCTTGTGTTTTCATGAAAAATTCTCAGGCCTTATAAAGTATATCTAAGCCACAGTACTATAGAATTAAGAAATTATGAGGATCAGAAGGTTACAATAATTTCTTTCAGAAGTCTATAATGACTTTTGACCCAGCATCTTCATGCCCTACATGCTGTTGGTGAAATTAGCTTCCCAACTCGAATTGGTATATTGAGTTGATTGAACACATTTCATTGTTCACAATGATCCACATTGTGGGATTCTTGTAAAACATAATAACAAGGCAATTTCCCTTAAATATAACCTGCTTTAGGCATGTGCATGGAAAAAAAGCCCTTTGTTATCAGAGTATTTATATGCATCCTTTTGTATTGCTATAGCTTTTCATAATTATAGTTAGCTGCTCCTTAAATTTAGATAGATAGACAAACTTCTTTTTGTAAAGTTCATGGAAAATAGTGGAATCATGTGATATCTCTTCTTTGTTCTTTTTTCTACTAATCTAGGGAAGAAATGAAGTCTCTCCAGGAGGCCCTGCAGAATCAGCTTAAAGAGACATCGGAGAAAGCAGAGAAACATCAGGCCACAGTGAGTGTATTTGTGTTTCTTCTTTGTGTATTAGCTTTAGTAATGAGAAGTCCTTTCTTTCTTTTTTCATATCACTATGGAAAAATATACCATAAAAAGTAAAAATAAAATCACCCCAACAGAAGCTTCAGTCATTTTGATCAGTGTAAAAGTTTGCCACAATTTACTATAAGAAAAAAGTGGATGTTGTGTTTAACTTGGGGATCTTCTAGCTCCTACTATTCTCTGTAAGTGATGAACCAAGAGGCAGACCAGGCAGGGAACTGGTTCAGGCTTACATTAGTGGTTCCTGGAAGGGGTGGAAGCTGAACTGAAAGCCTGTTATCCTGTGCAGATCCTTAAGCTGTCCCAGACAGCCATGGCATGGAAACCACTCAGGGCAGGCTCATGCTATCTGCCTGGTCATCAGTCCTCCAAATTACTCATAGGGTAAGACCTACACTTTAAGGGTCCAACTGCTCCCCAGATCTTTCCAAGATGGTGTCTTTTTGAAGCTCACACTTGGGCTCTTATCACTGATACTCACCAGAGACAGGAAAATGGGCTCCTGAAGCAGTGCTGGGATATCGATCTCAACTTTTCAGACTCGCTTTTGTACCACTTACAGAGATAAGACTTCTATATAGTATCTAGTGCCTGAATCTACTTTTGAAAGTATAATATATAGTACCATCTACTTTATTTGCTAGAGATCAACGGATTTGAATGCATTACTGAGAAGAGGGTTGGTATATTATGCCCAGGGCCCACATGGAGAAGGCTAGAGCTGGCCACCAGAGAAAACTGGACAGAAGACCCCACTATGATTTCAGAGGCAGTGAAATGGTGAGACAGCTAGAAAGGCTTAGGATGGGCAGTGTGAATAACTGCAGTGGCCTTGAGACTTGGGAGCTACCCCACATTGGGGCGTCTGCCCCTAAAGTCACTAGGGCAGGTCTGAAGTGGTTTGGAGTGGCACTAGAGTGTGTTATTCTTGAGCTGATTGTTATTTGAAAGCATAGTACTGCGAGTACATGACATATGCTGGCTCCAGTGACGAAGGCAGGAGTAAAGAGAAGGGTATTTCAAGCACATTATCGAGCTAATCAGAATGAGGCTGCTCCAGCACGTGGTTATTGGAACAGACTCTTCTGGAGCACCAATAAAATAAAGCCTCAGTTTTAGAAACTAGAAACAAGATGAATGCAGGTATCCATCCATCTTGGTCAATTACTGGAATCCCAGGCTCTCTAAACACTGTAGTGAGCCTTTTATTTACAAAGCTTCTAACAACTTTGATTGGAGTGTGGAGTTTTGCTTCTGAGTCTCAGTTCAGTTTGTCATCCAAGATAGCTGACTCTTAAGGGCAGCCTTCCTCATAATGATGGTCGGCTTTGCTGTGTTAGGACTGTTTCCTGTTAAGGAGTTCTCATTATTCTTCCATCTGTCAAGATGGCACATACTCAGACGGCATGAAAACACTCAGTGATTTTATGTAGGATGTTCTAGTGTTTGGCAGTAGGGATGCCAAATGTTTTGTAAAAGAATGGACAGTTTTTAGCACCTTCCTATCCAGCCCTTCCCTCAATACCTGACTTAAAATGCTGGCTGGCTCTGTCTGCAATCTCATTTCCGCTTTGTCCAAGCAGACTTCATTTGAATTTATCTTGGCAAATTTAATCTGAAAATAAAAATGATGGCCTTGAGAACAGACATACTCTATTCACTCTTTTCTCAGACCCTTGAAATAAAGTCATATTGTTTTATTGATTGTTTCCTAAGAAGCTGTAACTCACAGGAGGTAAATTCCTGGCTTGCTTTACATTGCTAGTGGACAGAACAGCCAAGGCACATACCACAGCAGCTCCCACACTTTATGCAGACGAGTTCCAAGGAGAACACTGTCACTCTTGAAAGAGCACAGGCCAAAGATAGACTATCCAATTGTGGAAATGTCATGGATACACAGTATGGCCCCTGTGTTCCACCCAGCATGCTTTCAGTACCCTTCTTGTGGATTTCCCTTAGAGCCTTAGCACTCCTATCCCCTCCCTCCTAGCATTTCTACTAAGCCTAAACCCACTTGGGGGACTGACTTAGCACGCTATTCCGAGGATAACTGCTAGTGGAGCAGGTATTCTATGGACTTGAACAAGTTCTCCCAGTTTATCCAATTAAGACATTGTATCACATTAAAATATTAAGGATTATTATTATTCTTAAAATAACAATAATATATATTATTAAAATATGGTATTTATTATATGGAAATATAATATTATTATAATTAAAGGTGTAATTATAGATATCATATAGGGTATAGTAGACATGAAAGTGATACTTTGTCCTTCCTTCTCTGCCCACTATTTTAATTCCATATTCATATATGGTCATTTCATTTTCCTCGGGCTCTCCTACTGACTACTTATAAAGCTGTTCATTGGTAATTATGATTCTGTGCACACACGGTACTAGGGATGATGAATTGTAACTAACTTCAAAATTGTAGGCTCTCATCGCCACTACCGCCCGCTAACGTCACAGGAAGCATTATCAAGGATGACATAGGATTAATATCTGACAAGGGAAGATTCAAATAATGTAGTCTTTCTTAATCATTAGGGATGTTCTAATGCTTCAACTCTAAGTCATTACTAATCAAAACCATTTAGCTACACAATCTGGATACTATACATGGATTTCCAGCCACTGACAAAGAGCTGTGTGAGATCCAAGGTTCAGAGTCACAAACGCTCCTGTTATAGGCTCCAGTTATAGCTCCTGTACCATCTAAGAATGAGCTCTGACTGAACATTTGAAACTTCATTCTCATTAATAATTACAAGACAATTTAATTTGGTAATGCTTTGTATTTTCTTGCCTACAGATAGGCTATTACTGTTATTTACTATAATTGTTTTAAATATTTTTAAAGTCACATGTTTTCCTATATTTATATATAATTTATATATAATATAATTTCTATATTACAGCATAAAATACATGCCATTTATGCATTATATATGTTGGAATTTCATAATGTAGAAAAACAATTTTCAACATAAATTGTGTAATCATTCTATTTAAATTGCTAGTTTTAAGAGATGATATGAAGAAGTACCATATGATTTGCTTCATTCCTGAATTGAAGTTAAAAAAAAATTGTGCACATCCATTCCCCAATGTGATGGCAAAAATCATAAAATATATGCATTACTAAAAGAGCAGCTCATAGAGTAAAGCAAAGATTCCAAGTGACCAACTTCAAAGAAAGCCTTTCCTGAGGTGACTCTAGGTGCAAAAAAGAAAGGGCTCTCTTGGTTTTCTTTGATCTTCCCTGCAAAGAGATAAGAAGGAGATGAAAGGAAAGCGGTGGGGATAACAGCAAGTATAATTTAGTAACTTTTGGTGCAGACATCAGATTTCCATAGTGGGAACTCTTTGCGCAAATGAATCCATGGGAACTGACAACTTGGAACATCCCGGGACAGGTGGGGGAGGGGTGATCAAATATCTGCAGGAGCTGTGCTATTCACACTCACATGACTACAGAACTAGGAGACTACTAAATACAAAGAGAAAAGCAAGCAAGCTTCCAAACTAACCAAAAATTCTCATGTATTAGAAACCACGATGAATTAAAATAGTTTAACTATATTGACACAAAATCTTAAAAGGGGACAAAATAAAAAAAAAGTTGGAAAACATACATAAAAATTTTAAATTTGAAAATTGAAAATATTACTATTGATCCTGAGAAAACTAGGAAGATTAATACAAAATAATATTTAAGGAAAACAATTGTCAAGATACTAATGTTTTCTAAAAAAAAAAAACTTTACAGAACAAAGGCATTACTAACAACAGCTTTGTAAACCCAGGAAAAACTGAAATCATCATACACTACTCTGCCCTAAGCAGGAAAACTTCACACATGCAGCTTCATAACCCATCAATCTATAAGTAAGAACAATGCAAAGCAAATGAGCAAATATTTTTAAAATGCTATCAATAGTGTAAACTATTACAAATATGCAAGAAATCTCCAATAAAGTTTCTGAACAGATAAAAAAATGTTATATATTACAGAAATAAAACATATAATGATACATAAGTGATTCTATATATTCAAAAATACTAGTACTATATTGAAAGTTATTCTAATTCATTATAATAATGTAATTCATTTAAAATGGATAAATCATTCCTTAATTTTGAAAAATACAGACATTATTTCTCAGTATAATTTATATTAATGAGAAATACAAATAAAAAATAATAGTTTGCAAAGAAATGCTTAGTGCTAAAGAGATTGCTTTAAATTTGTTTGTTAATAAAAAGAACTAATAACAATTCATTTGTTTTTCTAAAAAGCAAAAAATTAATAACAATGGAATTTTTACAAATGTGTTCAACAATGCCGGATAAGGACACCAGGGGCAAAATGACAAGCAATTATCTTCATGAACAGTGTTGAAGTTAGATTCAACAAAATGATATCTAACTTAGTAAATCAACAAATTATAGAAAAGATTACTTATGATGGAAAGTGTGAATTCATAAAAGGAATTCAAGGATGGTTCAAATATTTACGTTAATATCAGAAGCATACTATATCTATAATATGAAAGACAAAGGATGCGTGGTCAACAGATGCACAAGAGGCCCTTGGTAAAATGTAGTCACTTCATGAAAAAAGCTGAACAAATTAGGAAAAAAAAGAAGTGTATCTTAATGTAAAGATCACTTACAAAATCAAAAAGTTAATATTTTTAATATGGAAAAGTTAAAAGCTTTCTGACACTTGGAGCAAGAAGAGAATGCTAATTTTCACAGCTTTTATTCAACATCATACAGGAAGTCCTCTTCAAAGTAATCAAGCAGGAGAAAGGAAGAAAAGACATCCAAATTGGGAAAATGAAATTCAAATCATCACTTTTGCAGATGCCATGATCAAATATATCAAAACCCCAAAAATCTTTACCAGAAAGACCCTTTAAGTCATGATTGAATTCCTCAGT